GGGGGGGGGGGGGTACACGTTACATCCTCGAAGCTGAAACTGATTAAGGCCCCGTTTACACTATACCGGATTACTTTTCATACCGGATTAATTTTTACTCCGAAGTAAAAAACAAGGGTGTTTACATTATGCCGCTTCGCTAGGTTGCCAGCTCATGTCTTCTAATAACATGAAAAATAGTTTCATGTACAACGGAGCTAAACTTTGGAATTCTATTCCAAAAGAAATTAGGGAAGGCAAATCACTTTCTTCCTTTCGAAATAAAATCGCTGCTCACATTCATGAATAATAAGTATTGTAAATAATGTACCTGTAAATAGTCTGCCAACTTTCTCATTAGACATTAATATGTTACTATTTTAATACTCATTGATATGTTACTATTTTAATACTCTATATCTCTTAAAAGCTTTGTAAATAGCTCTAACTATCACTTTCCTGTACTTGTAAAAATCTTATTCAATTTTTTGGCACACGCCCCTCGTGGAAATCAGCTTCGGTTGATGGGGTCAGCGTGTATAAATAAAATTTCTATCTATCTTTCACTGTCGCCATGGAAAGAAGTAGCCAATATACCAAAATTTATTAAAAACAAGAAGTAATACCCGTTTTCTTTGTAAAGTATAACTTTGTTTAAAAAGCGGAGTAATTTTTGCTCCGCGTCGCGTACCGGATTACTGTGGCGTTGTGTAAACAGCAGTCGAATCCGGTATGAAAATCGCTACGCTCCGATGCAATCCGGTATAGTGTAAACGGGGCCTAAGTACGTCTCGACTGAGGAAAACGATGATATACTGGAGGAACTTGATTTGTAAAATCTCGTTAAAGCAGTTGTAGATATGGTTCCAAGAATAGATTTAGTTTAGATTTACATGTATGCATTATCATAGCATGTTCTTCTCAGACTTATTCTGTATCGTATAAAAAAGCAACGCAATTTTGAGAATGTGGAAATGCTGTACGTCTCATAGAACCTATAGAATTATTTAAATGCAACATTTTTTATCAAAATCACATTGGGATTTTCTTCCCCCAACATCACAGAGGGGAAATAAGGTGACGCTGACCGGCTCCTCCTGTTTTTCAAGGTGACTTTTCCAATTTATTTAATTCCGAGTAGAAAATTAGAAATGTCTGGGAAAATTTATGTCTTCGATGTACTTTCTAATCTTCGGAATTCTGCAAGATTTCACCCCCCAAAATGCTTGAAATCGCATTTCAGGGACTCTAGATGTCAAAATTTTCCTGGAGGTGCATGCCCCCGCACCCCCCTAGATGGTCTCGCGCCTTCGGCGTTCGCTTCGCCCCCCCCCCAAAAAAAAATGAAGGTCTGGCTACACCACTATTGACTGGGAGTATGGTACTGTGGTTGCTGCTGCCTAACTATTAAGTATTTTATCATATATGCAGTATATTTATTTATTTATTTACAATTTAGGCTGCTGAAACAGGCAGTGGCAAAACTGGGGTATGTAATTATGTACTATTATATATATATATATATATATATATATATATATATATATATATATATATATATATATATATATATATATATATATATATATATATATATATAGCTTAAGATTTTGGTTTACGAAACACAAACTATAATTAACAGTGCTCAATACCATATAGATAGAGCGTAATATAGCTATATTACGCTCTATCTATATGGTATTGAGCACTATTAATTATAGTTTGTGTTTCGTAAACCAAAATCTTAAAGGGTATGGGCAATGAAAATTGCTTCATCTATCTTATTGCTTCGTCTAAAAGAGCATGAAAAAATAAGCCGATTGGCCGTTTAATGCTCTATTCTATCTCATCTAGTTCCGAAGTTATACGCAAAAATGTGCAAAATATAAATTGCTGATTCAGCACAACGTGTGACGTCATTAGCTGGGTAAGTATACTGAAGCATAGTAAGTACACTGAAGCATAGCTCAGTTATTATGGGCCCAAATCAAATGAAATTTTGGATACTGATTGTACATGATGAGACGCATGTAAAAACACTTCTAATTTTGTTGCAAAGGTAACAATGTCGTTCCCAGGCCCCTTGCGCCAATTTTATAAAACAGCTTTATTCAAGGTACTGATAAAAATAAAATAATATCAGAAGTATGTGTATGATACCTATGCATGCCAAAAGTTTACTTGCATGATAATAATTCGAAAATGACATACACATAGAGAAATGCAACTAGTTATTCAAAATCAGTGAAAGGGGCCTGGGAACGACTGTGTTGCCTTGACAACGAAATTAGAAGTATTTTGCCATGCGTCTCATCATGTACTATCTGTATGCAAAATTTCATTTGATTTGAGCCAATAATAACTCAGCTATGCTTTAGTTTACTATTCAATAAACATACTTACCCCGCTTATGACGTCACACATTGTGCTGAATCAGCAATTTATATTTTGCACATTTTTGCTTATAACTTCGGAACCAGATGAGATAGAATAGAGCAGTAAACGGCCAATCGGCTTATTTTTTCATGCTCTTTCAGGTGAAGCAATAAGATAGATGAAGCAATTTTCATTGCCCATACCCTTTAACAATACAAATCATGACCAAAGACACCAAAAACGGATCAAAATTGTATTTTAAAATACTTAAAACGTAGAAAAATTGGGAATTGACTTGCATTACCTCAATCCCAATCCCATTTTTGAGGACTTCATTTCCCATTCCCAGTGGCCAAATCCCATTCCCAGCAACCCAAATCCATTTTCCCAGTCTAAAAATAGATCAATCCCAGTTCCCATTTTACCCCTTCAGGGCCCTCTTGAAAGTCCTCGAGCTTTGCCTCGAGCTCACCGATGGGAACATGATCCTCTACATCCAGCTCTACATGAAGTACCAATTAATGTAAATCCAATATGGCGGACGTCAAAGTAAAAGTCGGAAAGGTTCAGAGCTCTGGGTTCAGAGGTTCGTGGTACAAAACTAAAAAATAGTTGGTTAAACTCAAGAATTGTGATTTATTTTGAAACCATGCCATTAATGATCATAAGAAAAGGTTTGAAAGATAGGTATGTTGTCAAAAAGAGATTATTTGCCAAAACATATCGGACAAAAATCGCTAGGAATATAGAGGGGCTAGGGCCCAGTGGTGAACTGGCCAAAGGGGGAATTTGTCAGTTTGGGAAGTTCCGAATTTGTATATTTATTTATTTAAAAACATTTTACAACGATAACGCTTCAGAATCTACACATACCTGTTTTTCAAGAGGTCGTTGACAGACGTTGAACAGTAACACATGGAGTTACAAAAATTACATCCACACACAGCTACTACTATATTATACAACTACTATATTATACAACTACTATTATTATAATATTATACAATTACTATATAATGTTAAAAATATTTACAAGACTCAGCGACGGTCAAGAATAGACTTAAATATTTTTGCTACACCAATCCCTTTCTCTTTTGCACATTGTGGCAAATCATTCATTCCAAACTGAAGCAGCAGAATAGGTAATACTTTTCTACATAAAATTAGTTTTTGGTTGCTTTAAAACAAAATCCGTATTGTTGTTGCGTAAATTATGATTTGAGTTATTTTTCATTTCATATTTACCAATTATTGATTGCAGGGGTTTCAGAATAAGCCGGCGGCCGGCGGAGTTCCGCCGGCTACTTGAGCCAGGGGTTTCAGAATAAGCCGGCGGCCGGCGGAGTTCCGCCGGCTACTTGAGCTTTTACCGCCGGCTACTTTTCATCTGGTCACAGGAAAAAAATTATATACAAAGATACAAGCGAACCAACACGATGTTTGTTATGTTCCAATTGGAATTTCACACAAAACATCACTTATTTTGGAAGATCAATAAGATCAATAATATATAGTACCAAACATAGCTTGCTTTCTGAGTTGGTGTCGAAGTGAATCTTCCTGGGGCCGGTTGTATAAAAAAGTGATTAAAGTTAACTATAGTTAAGTGGGAACGTCATCCAATAAGAAGCGCCAATTTAAGTGTTAATCACTATTTAACTACAAAATAGTGATTTAAAAAGTGATTAAGAGTTTTATACAACCGGCCCCTGGAAGATAACTCTGATTGACTCTGACAGTGACTTAAGCATTCACAGGAAATATTTTGTGATTCCCATTTAGGGAAAAAATCGGGTTATTACTGGGAATTATTTGGGTTTTAATTGGAATTTCCCAAAACTGGGAAAATGCTACCAAAACCAGTTTTGGGTTTAAAAAAACACAATTAACTCCCAACATTGGGATATAATTGACCCATTTTTATTCCCAGTGTTGGGTTAATATTGACCCAGTTTATTCCCATTAACGGGTTATTATGGTCCCAATTAAACCCCTGTATGGGTTAATATTGACCCAGTTTATTCCCATTAACGGGTTAGTATTGTCCCAAGTAAATCCCCTGTATGGGTTAATATTGACCCAGTTTATTCCCATTGTTGGGATGCTGCTGTACCAGAATATTCCCAACCTGGGGAAAATATCATCCCAAGGTATTACCATTGTTGGGTTAATATTGTCCCATTGTTTTCCCAGGTTTTTCCCCTGTTGGATTATAATTGTCCCAGTTTGTTCCCAAAACTGGGTAAATGTTGACCATGAGTATTCCGAGATTTGGGATGTGGCATACAAATTAATTATATGAGCCAGCTAGTTTTCAATCAAAACCAAAACCTGTATTTTTAACAGAACTAATATAACTACTGCATAATCTTAAGCTATAATATATATCTAATATAAACGTTTCATGTTTGCATGTCCAGTTCACTGTAGTAAATAAATGCTGTACAATATATCTCTGCACAAGCTAGCTAAACCAAAACAAGTCGATGTAACATCACTGATCGATGCAGTGCAGTTGCGTGATCATGCATCTAAAGTGCAATCTCTTTGTGCACAATAATACTGTCCATTCTGATATTGCTCATGTTTGTGCCTTCTTTGACAGAACAGTATTTTTGGTTGATCAACTTTTTTGATGTTACTTCAAGAAGTTGGCTCATTGTTAGCGCTGTTATTTGACTTTGCTTTACATCGAATTTCTTCTTTAAGATTCTTATAATGTCTTCCCTATTTGGCAGTTCACCAAACACTGCTTTGCAAATCATCTGACAACTTTTAAATGGGTATGCTTTGGGGGATTTACTCTCCGAATCATCCTTAGGCAGATCTAGAGAGACACTACTTTTGATATCATGTATGCCCAAATCTTCAGGCGATGAATCCAAATCACTATTTGGTGAAAGAGTACTTGCAGATTGGGCACCATGATCGTTCCCAGTATCACTTCCTGATCCATCATCACTAATTCTTTTAACTCGCTACATGCAGGAAAAAGGAAAAAATATTAATGCGAGAAAATGTTCCAGTAACAGAGACCAAGTATAAAACTATAGGTACTAAAACCTTTATAACAGTGAATGAGTAATGCTTATACATTGAAATATTATAAATGAACTGGATGCTAATGAAGATCAAAATACTTTTCCTTTTGACATCTCTGGACATGCAGTACGACTGATATTCTCAGTACGTACTAGTTAGCTAAATTTGCTGTGCACATGCGCGCATCAGTTAAGGAAAAAGCAAAGTTCACATGCAATTTCCAATCTGTACACGTACCTTCAGCTTTTTTGAAGAACCTGGGACTTTCTCATTTGGAGAAATAGTTAACAGTTCAGGGAACTTTGGATCTTCTTTTGTTGAATTGGAAACCTATAAATATATTTAATTATGTTACATTTCATCATTTAATTTAACTCATTTACTGGTAGTACTCTAGCTACCACTGACGAATGAAATCGTCTGGCGTTAGACAGAATAAATACGTATGGCGTTAGGCATAAAAAAATACCTGTGGTTTCGGTTTCATATCGTGAAAAAATTAAGATCGGTAGGTCGGAAATAAATTTTTTTTTCGAATATTTTTTCATGGTTAATGGTTTTTGCAATAATTAGTGTGACAATTAACAGACGCCATTTTGGCACGCTGTATGAGCAGCCCACAACCACCTGGAAAAAATAGGGTCGCACGGTCAATCATGTTGAAAAAATAATAGGGGCGGCAGAAAAAAATAGGGTCGGTCGGGAATCGGAACCACAGGTATTTTTTTTTGGCCTTAGACAGAGTTCTGTAAATACTAAAGTAGTGTGCATTTGGCTGCATTACCAGCTAACAGGTTAATAAGAGACATTGGCAGATAGCTAGGTTTGTTAATTTAACCCATTTACTGGCAGTTCTCTATCACTGACAAGTAAAATAGTTGTTAACTATAAGAGACATTGGCAGATATATTTGCTAATAAGAGCCATTGGCAGATAGGTTTGTTAACAGCACCCTACTACTGATGAGTTAAAATCGTTCGTCTGGCGTTAGACAGAGTAAATACTAATGTAGGGTACATTTGGGCACACTGCCAGCTAATGGGTTAATAGGAGGCATTTGGCAGATGTATTTGTTAATTAATAAGAGTCACTGACAGATAGGATGGTGAACACAATTAGTGGCAGTACTCTACCACTGACGAGTAAAATTGTCGGGTGTTAGATAGAGTAAATACTGTCTGAAGTGGGCACATTTGGGCGCATTGCCCACTAATGGGTTAACAAGAGACATTGGCAGATATATTTTTTAACCCATTAACTGGTAGTAATCTACCACTGCATGACAAGTAAATCACCTGGCGTTAGACAGGTAAATACTAATGTAGGGCTCGTTGGGGGCGTGCAATGCCAGCTAATGGGTTAAAAACAAGTAATAAAAAATGTAATACAGCATACTGTATATGTACCTTTAAATCAACTGGTTTTCTATTTCTGTATATTCGTTGTTCATTGAAGAAACACTGCACATGTTTGACAATCCCATCAACAGTAAAACCTATTTCTGGCATTGCACATTGTGGTGCAATTTGTTCTGCAAATTTTGCCAATGCTGATTTCATTTGAGGTGTATTAAATTTTGGGGCAGGGTTATCTTTCCAATGTTCTGAAGCTAACACTCCAACTTTCTTACGTCTATATATATAACAAAGAAAATTAAACCTTCAATCATGGTTAATACTGTTAATAAAATTTTTAAGATTGTATGGAAACCGTATAACAAGTTTTCACACAGGTTCTCCAGGGTTTTCTCTGGGTACTCCAGATCCAGGGTTTTGTCCGGGTACTCCGGTTTCCTCCCACAGGGAAAGTTGACAAGGTGGGTTAAACACATAGGTCAGGGGGCAGATCATTAATGAGGTATGGACTAATAGCGGCTGCTTAAAGCGCCATTGTAAGCTCACAGTCTACCTTGGTCTGTTTCCGGTTCTGTCTATCTATCTATTCACAATAAACCCTAATAGGGAGTGTGCTGTGCAATA